AGTGAGGCCAAGAAATTGGCCTCAAACAGATCATGTTGCTATGGGTATGAGAGTCCCTGCATCCCAACCGTGTCAGATCTTTTTACTTCTTTAAAGACTTCACTGTGGAAGTCTCTATTATCTAGGGAGACCAGAGTCTCTTGGGCGGAGAAAGAGACCTCTGATTTGGAGACCAGCTAACTCATTTCCAGCTCCCTGCTTCAGGGTTACCATGCAATCTGACCTTGCAGGGAGGCTTCTCAGCCTATTAAAAATCTCATGAATTCAGCGTGGTTCCACAAAGGTGAGTAACCTGATGACCAGGTTCCAGGGACAGCAAAGGGGGGCCCACCCTGCCTTCATGGAAAGGGGATGAACTCAGGGGTATCCCTGTGCCTCCCACAGCTGGGAAGTGTGGGGGCTGCTCAACTTCAAGGGGTACATTAAATCTTGGGACACTGACAGAGCAGGGCTCACTGGGGCTCCAGAGGTCTGTGAAGGTCACTAAACAAAAGGAAAAATGGAAAAGTTTTCAACGTCTGCTCCTGACAAATGATGTTGAACCAACATAAAGGCCGATGATTTGAGGGAGAGATTTGATGTTGCAGAAGAGTGTTGAAGACAGGGGCCTGGTACTCAAGGAAGAGCATGTCAGAGCCCAGAACTACCTGCTTGTGCCGGAGCCTTCTCTGAGCCAAGTGTGCGCACCCGTGTGCTTTCAAATGCCTCTCAGCAACCAATTCTTATTGCTCTTCTCGAATTTAGGAACAAAAATGTGAAGTTTACCTCATACCCCAGAGTGTTAAGGTAAAAATGATTGAGAAAGAGTGAAACATACTATTAAATATCAAGGCATTAAAAGGTTTGCAGGCATTTATTCTGAGCTACCAGAAGCCTAATGGCTGACTCTAATACAACACTGAGGCTATAAAGACAAATACAACACGCCTTCCAACACAGCGCACCTGCCCAGGAGGCAGTGATTGCTAGGCAGAAGTCAAGACCTGGTGCTAAGCATGGTGGTGCACACTTGTCATCTCAGTGACTTGGGAGGCTGAGGCAGGAGGGTCACAAGTTTGAGGCCAGCCTGGGCAACTCAGTGAGGTCCTAAGCAACTTAGCAAGACCCTGTCTCAAAAAAAAAAAAAAAAAAAAAAAAAGCACTGGGAATGTGTCTGAGTGGTTAGCACTACTGGCTTCCATTGGAGGAGGAGGAGGGAGAGCAGAAGAAGACATAGTATTAGTAGAAGTAATAAAGGCCCGAGGGTGTGAAACACCCCAGAGGACACTAGCCACCATTCCTTGGGGGGTTACAAGGATGGGATACCTGAAGTGAGAGTCAAGGACCCCTCTTTTTCTAGAGTAATAGAGTAGGGTTAAAGCGTGTAGAGAGAGAGGGGGGCTAGAGAAAGCACTTGAAGCTGGGGAACAGCTGATGGCCTGGGAACCAATGGGTAACTCGACATTAGTGGACACGTTAGGAAGGTCCCCAGGGGTGGGCAGAGATGCAGCCACCCAGAGGTGGATGGCGCTGTATGGCAGAGGGGCGAGGTCCCACAAAGCCCCATCCAGTGCCCAATGAGAGCTCAGCTGGGTGGAAGCCTTGCCCCCCTCCCCTCCTTCCCTCTGCTTGGCCACCTTAGGAGTCCTTGCCCAGTATGCTCTTCCTCCCACATTTAAGCAATAATTTCCTATCTTTGGGGAGAGAAGGAGGGAGAAAACGATTAGCCTGAGATACTAGAATGAATCCAGATGATCCTTTGCAGAAAACGGCATTTGCCTAGAATAAAGGAAGGCATGCAAGTCACGGTGCTCTGCCACTCAGTCCACCACTGCGCTGCCCGGCAGGCACCGTGCCACTCAGCACTCGAGGTCTGGTGAGCCCAAGTCAAACGTGCTGAAAGCACAGATTAGACACCAAAACCTGTTACTTAAAAAACGGAATGGACCCTATCTCCTGAATTTCTTGTGATGACTCCATGTTGGCATTGTGATATTTTAGATAGATAAGTAAAATGCATCACTAAAAATAACTCCCCGTTTCTTTGCACTGTTTTCAATGTGACGATGGGATCATCCTGAATTACTTATGTGGCTCACATGCTTCTCTCAGACAGCACTGTGTACAAGAGCAGAACAGCACTTTGTTTGCCTCTGTGCTCGTTCTTCTTTGTTAGCCTTGAAAGTAGTCATTTAAATTAAAATAAAATATTCATAGAAATCAACAAGACCTCTTTCCTGGAGTCCTGTAAGGAAAAAGTAGTGTCATAAAGAACTGCCAGTTGTATCCCTCGCCATACTAAGTAAACAGCAGGCCACAGAACTGCACACACACTCGGGGTGTGAGAAGGCGAGCGGCACTGCTGGGCACTAAGGGTGCTGCAAAGACTCTGTCCTGAGGGCTGTGTTCCCAGCGCCACCTCTCAGTGCTCACTGCCTCGCTGGACCCTGTGTGGCCAGAGGAGGCTCTCACCCGTGGTACTGCCGAAGGGCTCCACTCTCCAGCAAGAGACCTCAGCTCCATATGCCCTACACCTGACTCCCCCCACAGGCAGGAAGTCTGGGCAAGGGAAGTGGGCATGGGCAATGGGCAGTGAGTTTCCTTGCCTTGGCACGGAAATATTATATACACATGTTAATGGTAACATCGCATCAAGAAAAGCTGCAAAAATGTCACAAAGGACTCTCATGAACCCTTCACTCTGTCCCCTGCCACAGTCCAGCTGGGCAAAATAACCGGGAGGTGACAAGCAACTTGAAGGTTGAAGCGGGAACCGCTTTATTGCGGAACAGCAGAGGTCTATATACCTAACTGATTACACACAGCTTGACTCAATTAGCATCATCCAGATTCAGCAGTCCGCCAATAAGGAATCCCCACCATCTTAATGTCTCAGTGGCGTTGCCTCACAAAACACTCCTCCTGGCAATCTGCCAGGCGCCATCTTGACTTGGTCATGGCCTCCAACAGTCCCCCATTAACGTATCATCACATTGGCTTTATCATATTTTCTGTCTTCATATGTGCGTATCTTCTGTACATATTTATGCAGTTAAGTTCTAAAATCACTTAAAAATAAGTCACCAAAATGACAGCCTTTTTACCCCCTATATATTTCAGTAGGCTTTCCCAAAGGGCAAGGGCACTCTCTGAGATACCATTAAAGTTACCAAAGTCAGGGAATGGGTATTAACACATATCTACTATCTTATCTATAATCACAGTCTCTAAATCATCCCAATAATATCCCTTAGAGTAAGAAGAAATAAATACAGGTCCAAGAACTAATCTGGATCAAGTCGTGCATGACGGTTGTGTTTCTTTGTCTTCTTTGGTGGTGGAATAACTCTTCGTCCTGTTTTCATATCCTTTACGACTTTGATATTTGAAGGGCAGAGGCCAGCTTTTTGTAGGGCGTCCCTCTGTCTGGCTTTGTTGGAGGGTTCCTCATGACGACACTGGCTATAAATTTTGCTGGAATCTTCCTGTGTCTTTTTCAGTGCCACAAATCCATGGACTTTTTCCTGTTACTAGTGAAATCACTTTGCACTAGCTGGTGTGAGGTATCTGCCAGGTGTCTTCACTGTCGAGTGACTAATAACTAGTATACAGGTAATTCTGTGAGACTGTGTAAGGGCCCTTTTGTCATCAAACTCAGATTCCACATCTTAGCAATCATGGATCATTTTTGCATAAGAAGTGTTTTAGTGTGAAGATTGCCAAATCATAATTCCTGAACTAAATCATTCCTCCAATGTTCATTCACTGGCATTTTATGGTAAGTGCAAGCAATCCCTTCCACCTCATTCCCTGAGTTGTGTCTTGTCCTTGTTTGAATATGTCCATGGATTCTTATTTCTAATCTGCCACTGTGATCATCCGTGTTGACAATCCAGTGATTTATTACTAATCATTCTCACTTTTCAAAAGCTGAGCCAGTGTTCATGGAGAAGTCACTGTTCTCGTGTCTTCTCCTGCCTTGCTCCATCTCCTCATGATGGTGAGGCTTGGTAGTGGTTTGTGGCCATTTTGCTGATGAGAAACCAATAACGGCTGACAGGCCTGGAGCTAGATCACAGACCCAGGTGTAGGGTCTTCAAAGCTCATGCTTTTTACCAATATTAGCTTTGGTTGTGGATTGTCTTATTTCAAGACCCCAACAACTAAAAAAGACAAATTTAATATTAAAGCATACGTCTAAAGTTTCCTGAATGTTCACAAGTACCAGCATTACCAAGAGAATAAAACCATATGATAAATTCCTCCCCAGTCACTTCTCATAGCCTAGGACATGAGGATGATACCAAAATGGGTTGAAGAACATTTTCCAAACTGTGCCCAGCTCAGGGATCCTGACATGGCCCACAGGGCATTTGAGAATTCCTGTGGAGAAACATTTGTGTCACATCCATCTTGTTCTCTAGAGACCCTGATCATCACACCTTCCCCAAACACCAGGGAGAGTGAGGGGGCTGTTACAATTCCTGTCACCACTAAAATAAAATCTGAGACACAAGGAATCATGGCTCAGTCTCCAAACAGCAGTAACAGATATAAAAGTTTTATTTTGATCTATTTTGTTTATTCTTTGCTCTGTGTAGATTTTAAGCCCTAGATTCATATCTATCTAATCAAGAACAGAAAGAGGAAACTAAGACGCTTGCTAAGAACATGCCGGCTAAATCTCATGAATCACACCCCACAAGCAATGGGTGCTCTCGGAGACCAAAGGGACTCTCCAGACTTTGCAGGAATGTCCTTGAGTTGGCTGTCACCTGAGGAAGAGTAAGTCAGGATGGCTCCTGTGAAACAGGAGGTTACAGGGAACAGGAAGAGGCTGATGGGGAATCAGCTAAGTGGCAACTCACATCAACAGGGCAGCCCAGAGTCCTGTGGCCCAACCAGCTGAGAAGTGAGACACTGCCCCGCCTCGACGGGCACCCTTGCTTCTGTCTCCCTGCCCTCAAAACTGAGTTAATTGGGATGGAAAACGAGAGCTGAGAACAATAAGTAGCACCTACCTGGATAAGAGACAGGTCCTCAAGCTGCAATCTGAAGAGGTAGTTCCTGCAAGACACAAGAGGAGAGCAGGTTTATTTTTAGTGGATTCTAAAAAATTCATAAGTGTTATGAGAATAAAGGACATGAACACATGAAGATTTGGGCTTCAGACTTATCCTGATGCAGGAGTAATACCCAGAATATGTAAAGAATTCAAAAAATGAAACATCAAAAAACCAAGTAATCCAGTTAATAAACTGCCAAGTGTGTTAAACAGACATTTCGCAAACGAAAAACAAAACTGGTCAACAAATACAAGCACCATTCTTTTTACTAGCAAAAGAAACCATCTTAAATATTTAACAGGAGGCAAATGGTTATATACACCATAATATATCCACAAAATATTCAACAATTTCAAAATCAGGATTGATCTAGCTGCGTGCAGTTGTGTACACCTGGAATCCTTTGGCTGAGTGGGGAAGACTGCAAGGTCCAAGTCGGCAATACCCCGTCTCAAAAAATAATAATAATAATATTCAACATCATAGAGAAATTCAATCAAATCATCTCATTTACGAAAGCTAGAGGGAAAAAATCAAAAAAGCTAGAGAAAAAAGCAAATCATTAAATTAGAGATATACAAATCAAAAACACTGAGATTTCATCTCACTCCGTCAAGAACACAACCAGGGCTGGGGCTACGGCTCAGTGGTTAGAATGCGTGCCTCACATGTATGAGGCAGTGGGTTCAATCCTCAGCACCACATAAAAAAATAAATAAATAAACAAAATAAAGTTATTAAACAAAGAACCCAAATAATAATAAATGCGGGAGAGGATGTGGACAAAGGAACACTTTTACACTGCTGGCAGATAGCCAGTTGGTAAACCACCATGGAAATCAGTATGGAGTTTCCTCAAAAGACAGGAATGGAGGCACCATATGACACAGCTAAGCCACTCCTCAGTGTTGACTCTAAAAGTATTAAAGTCAGCATACGATGGTGACACGCACATACCTCTGTTTATAGCAACACCATCCACAACAACCAAACTATGGAACCAGCCTGGGTGTCTGTCAACAGATGAACAGTTAAAGAAAACGTGGTATGCATATACAATGGGGTGTTATTCACCCATAAAGAAGAATGAAATTATGGCATTTAGGAAAATATATAGAAACCGAGAACATCATGTTAAACCAAATCCAGAACTCAAGAGTTGTGAGTTTTCTCTCACATGTGAAAGCTAAAGAGGAAAAAAGAAATAAAGAAGGTTGTGGTGGGGATCTCATGAAAATTGAAGGGAGACCAGCAAAGTAAGGAAAGGGAGCAGGGGAAGGGTAGAGGGTGGGAAATCCTGGGGAATGATATTGGCCAAACTACATTGTTATATCAAGTTCATCTACAAATATGCAACAATGAATCCCACCATTATGGATAACTATAATGCACCAATAAAAATATGGAGAAAAGCTTCCTACTAAGAACATGCCCAGCTCAGAGGACAAAGGCATTCACCAGGCCAATGGACACACTGAGACTGCCAGGAGAGCTGGTGAGTAAGTCCCAGTGTGGGGGACTGGGAAAGTCACGGTTGGCTCTCTCCATCTGCATGCATTAGAAAAGGACAAGGGCATTTGATTCTGAAACTGAGTTTAACTTCAGTAAAAGCATACCCAACTGTTCCTCAGGAGTCTCCACTCCGATCCATGGCCCCGACTCGGCACGATTTATATGTAGGAATGTGAATTTCACCCAGGGTCTCAGTATCATGGCACTCCATATTATTGAGGAATTCAGTTTAGAAATATGGACTTGTTCGTCCACCTGAGGACACTGATGCTCCCAAGGGTTTGAGTCAGTTCTGTGGTCCCCCGTGAGACACAGGAAATCTGAGAAATGGACACTATCAGGGGATACAAGGAATAGCAGGTCCACAGTGTTGCAGCTTTGGGAGAAAACCCACTACCCTCCATCACAGGGCCATGTTGGTCTCTGGCTGAGATGATGGTGGCTCCTTATCATCATGAAGGAGCCACCCGGGCAGCAGCAGCAGCAGCAGCAGCATTCCAGAATAAAAGGAGAAATCAACTCGGTGAAAGTGGAAGTGGAAAGAAAAAATTGATCTACAATAGAGAGCAGACCCTCAGGTGTGGATGAGTGTGGGCAGGGTCTAGAGGAGCTGGGTTGTACCATGGGTTGCCCAAGGTCACTTCTATGGCACTATGAAAAATTTTCCAGTGAGAAGCAAATGCAGATGACGTCCCCTACACTACCTTGGGGAGGGGTAAAGATGAGGATATCAGATGTCAGAACTGGACCTGCCACTGCAGTCAGAATGCCAAATGCAGCCATGCCAGGCAGGCACAGCTGCCAGGGGACCAAGAAACACAGCTATGGTCAGAGATGGGACGGACGAAGCCCAGCAGAATCTGATGCTCAGTAGCATCTGTGCTCACGCTGTTGGAGGGCGTCCAGGACCAGGGCTGGCACTGCCCTGGGCACCAGGATCATCACAATCCCTCCCACACCATGGGCATAATACCACCCACCAAGTGAAGCCTGTCTCCTGCCAACCACAATAGCCTCTCGCCACATGCTTTCTGTCTCTCCAATTTAACCCCTGATATCCTGCCAGAGAACCTTCTGGAAGCATTGCTTGGCATGTGCCATCCTTACCGCAAAGCTGTGGGGAGGAGACCTCCCTGTCTTTTATTACAGTAAAGCCAGCGTCCTCCATGCAGAGCCAGATACCAGGTCCTCAGGGGAGCAGGAATGCCATAGGAGAGTGGGTTTTTTGTTTTGTTTTGTTTTGGTCAGACACCAGGGAGAGGCCAGGTTTCCAACAGGAAGTTCATCTGAGGGAAAGGGAGGTGAGCTCAGTGCACAGGTGGAACAGAGTGACTGCCAAGGGAAACCGTGGAGGCCACCAGCGTCCCAAGTTTTCCCATACTCTCAAGGGCTGTGGACAGGCACCCACACCTCTCCTGTAAGGGAGGTGAGGAAAACATACACAGGACTCGTCTCTCAGCTGAGGGACTGGCAAGGGACACGAGGGGCAATGCAACCCATCACCTCCCTGAGCAATGGGGCTCCACCCTCCACCATTTCCCCTGAGCCTTCTAACTGCAAACAGCTGCCCCTGTACTAGGGGAGGCATTATTCCCTGGTGGCTCAGAATAATTGTACAAAGAAGAGCTCTGCCACCATACAGCCTCGGGAAGGAAGTGATTTCCACTCTAGTCCTCAGTCTTCTCATCAGGAAAATGGAAGTGATTATCACGCCTAACCACCTAGTGGTGGTGTTTTGAAATTTAAACCCAAGGAAACTGTTTAGAATGGAGCCTGATCCAGTGTAAGTGCTCAATTAACAGCTGCAGTTTCCAGTTGAAAATAAAGACTATTAAAACTTCCAGGCACACTGAAATTCTCAGCATATTCTCCACTGCACTGGGACAGAAAGAGCGGTTCTGCCTTCCAGCAATCGCAGGTTAGAAGCAGAGGTGACACAGGCATCCCTGTGTCTTTAGGGATGGGCTGCAATGGGGAGGGGTGGTAGTGGTGCTATTGGGTCTTAGGAAAGGAGACGCATTAGTTTTCTTGTCATTAGTTGAGAGAAACTATTCGAACCCAAGATTCCTATTCTCTTACACATGCACACACATACACATGTGTGTGTGCACGTGCGCACGCACACACAGGCGATGATTGCACTACAACATCCACCTTGCACCTTGGAATACTTTCTGGAATGGTAGCCCTCATACACCAAGGAAGAGAAAGAAGTGCCCTCCCATGCCTGAGGAAAGAAGATGGTAGGAGCCACCGTGGTCTGTAGAGCTCCCAGCAGATACTTGGAGAGGAAAGCTCAGGGCCCTCTCTCTACTTGGGAGCAATGGGTGGAGGTATAGAGACCACCTCTGAATCTCCGGTTCCAAAGTCAGGTGTTTTCCACAGCAGATAACACTGATTTAGGACTGAAACAACAACGTCACACTCGAATTCCATGGGTCCCTAAGCAAATGTCACTCTTCTGAACATTATTTTTTCTGCTTCCTGCATGCTATGAGTCTGTAAGTCACCTCCTCTTGGCAAACAATGCCAGTGGATTTCAACCATCTCCCTCCTTCTCCCAAACACCTGAGGACTATGTCTCCCTCCCAATTTTCTCATCAGTAATAACAAATCCATATGGAAGATACAGAGCAGGAGGCAGGAGGAGGCAGAGAGGAGGAGGCATGTGCCTTCTAGGAAAAATGCCACCATTGTTACCATCACCATGCCCATGCCCGACACCACGCTGCAGAGAAGTAACGCAGGTGTGTGGACTTTTCCTCTGGTTGTATTTTCTTGGTTACAAGACACAAGTTGGCAATTTTTAACTCATTCTCAATTTTTTTTTTAATCTAAAGGAGAATCAAAGAATCCAAGAATTCTGGAGCTGTCATTAAAGAATATACACCCCTCAATTTATGGATGAGGGAAATTGTACAAATAAAGAGATGCAGTGTGACTTGTCCAAGGATTCAGAGAGAGACCCTTTGTGCCACTTGGGTCTCATTTGCTCACCAATTAGGCGTCCAATACCCTCTTCCTCATCTCACCTGCACTGAACACTCACGTAGTGCACGGCACCAGCCCTTACTGTGTCATTATTCCACAAGCTCATTGTTCACACCCAGGAGCACTCACGGTCACTCTAAGACAGTTCAAGTGCTTCTCATAATGAGCTCTTGATTCCAGGCCATCAATTCCCACCTCTGGGGCTACAGTCTGGCTGTGACATATGTCTCCTCATTAAGAGAACAGGTTGACCCCACTGGTGTGGCTGATGACAAGGTGCCTCCCTTCTCACTCATTATTTGCTTGAATTCTTCCCAAAACTGTCTGCCCTTCATTTTAAGAGGGCACCATTTTCTTCATTTTTGAAACTAGAGAACTATACCGTACAATCTGTCAGAATACTAAAAAATGGGGGAGGGACATTTTTAGACATGTACAAGGCCCAGTGGAGTTGGTTGACTATCTGGCCATTGGGAAATGAAATGGATAATTGGGAAA